AATTATTAGTGTTTAATTATTTGTTGATTGATTGATTGGTTGGTTGATTGATAGTGTTTAATTATTGATTGATTAATTGATTGATTGGTTGATTGATAGTGTTTAATTATTGATTGATTGATTGATTAATTGATTGATTGGTTGATTGATTGATAATGTTTAATTATTGTTGATTGATTGATTGGTTGGTTGATTGATAGTGTTTAATTATTGATTGATTGATTGATTAATTGATTGATTGATAGTGTTTAATTATTGATTGATTAATTGATTGATTGGTTGATTGATTGATAATGTTTAATTATTGTTATCGTAGCCTTTATCGTAGAACTGTATAATAAAACAATGTGAATAACGAAACAAAATCACGTGTTTTTATTTACATTTTCACGTTTTATTTCGAACATAAACAATTTTAGTTTTAATTTCTCAGCTACGTGGGCCGCCACCACAGCGCAACAGGCGTCACAGTTAAATAGTAACAGGGCATAGATAATGTCATAGGTCATCAGTCATAGATCAATAGCCATAGGTCAACAGTCATAGGTCATCAGTCATGGGTCTTAGATTAACAGCTATAGCTCAACAGTCATAGGTCATAGATTAACAGCTATAGCTCAACAGTCATAGGTCATCAGTCATGGGTCTTAGATTAACAGCTATAGTTCAACAGTCATAGGTCATCAGTCATGGGCCATAGATTAACAGTCATAGGTCATCAGTCATAGGTCATAGATTAACAGCTATAGGTCATCAGTCATCAGTCATAGACCATGGGTGACCGGTCACACGTTGCAATTCTTCATAAGTTACGCATCGGTCAAGCACGCGATCCGACAACCCGTTTCGGACAAACGCCGGCGGCCGCGCGCAACCAACGCTATATACACGACCGCGTCGCCGCGGCGACCGGCGCTATCCGTCATCACTTGGCAGCGGTGGCGCCCTCTTGCTTCGGGTTCTGTTCCTCGTGTAGTCGCCAGATCAGCTCCTGGACCTCTTTCCGCTTCGTCTGGATCGTGGCGACGGGAAACCAGGACACGGGAAGACGGATCGGCAGGTTGAAGCTCGTCAGCGGAGTCTGCAACGTCGTTAACGAAGGGGGGTCGTTAGCGGATGGGGTCATTAACGAAGGGGGTCGTTAGTAGATGGGCTCGTTAGCGAGGGGGGTGTTAGTAAAGGAATCGTTAGTGAGAAATCCTAACCCCCTGACCTCTAACTCCCCACTGACCCATTCCTGACCTCTGACCTCTCCCTGACCCCACCCTGACCTCTCGGTGACTCACCTCGTAGAAGCTTTCCACGTACTGTAGGAGGTAGACACCGCAGTCGCTGTAGTTGTCCTGCTGCGGACACTTCACCGTGCATCCGCGAATGCTGTCTCGCGTAAACGCGCGCGCCGCCTCCCGCCGCGTCGTCCACTCAACCTGCAGGTAGCTGCAACGACGAGACGGGGCGAGAGAGATAGAGGCGCCATCTACGGTCGCGAAAGCAAAACTTTCGCCAAAGCGTGTTATCGTCGCAACAAATCTTACGCGTTCTTCTTGACGTTGGGCAAAAAAACAAACTAAACGTCAGATCAAATGTGTTTTTTTTAATTAAAAAAAATGACTAAATGGAATATCCATGATGCATGATAGAACAATGATACGTTAACGAAGGCGTGACAATCATATATGTTGTATTATATCGTATTGTTATAATTGTATATACCTGTATATATTTGGATACAATAATGATATGATACTACATAATGTATTTTTACCGTAGCCTATGTTTTTTACGTTTGAAATTAGATTTTTTAAATGAACGTAATTACATTTGGTGTCAAGTTAGAAAAGGTGGAAGTCAAGTTAGGAAATTTAGGTAGGACTTACTCTCTCAGCGTGCATATGACCTTTGACCTGGTCATTCCCACGAGCGAGTCGAAGATGAGGATGCAAGGCCTGAAGCGGAAACCATACACAGCATCCCATTAGCATCACTCACACATCAATAATCAATCAATACAACCACCAGCACATCCCAATCTACAATAAATCAATACATCCACCAATGAATATAACCTCCAGTACATCTAAATCTATAATCAATCAATACATCCTAATCAACATAATCAATATATATATATATATATAAAATCAAATATAATCGAATAAAAAATCGATATAATCAATAAATCAATAACCGATCCCCGCCACCGTCGCCACGACGACGTTACTCACTGCAGCATCATCTCCTTCTGCTTGGACGGCGTTTCCGCGGCGACGACGACCCGGCTGGCGGCGTCCGTGCGCTCTTCCTCAGCATCCTCCGCCGCAGCCTCCGCATCGTCCGCCTCCTCCCGCTGACCCTCGCACACCTCTTCGTTCGGGTCGCGGCCGAGGGAGGAGCCGTCGGAGGAGGGGGCCGGGGAGGGACCAGCCTTCCCCGCGGGGCTGCCCTGCTGCTGCTGCTGCTGCTGCTCCAAGGAATCTGTGCAGGGGGAGGAAAGAGAAGATAGAGAGAGGATAGATAGGGATAGAGAGGGGGAGAGAGAGGATATAGGGAGAAAGGGGGAGGAGAGGATATAGAAGGATAAAGGGGGAGGAGCAACGATCGAAAAGAATATATCCAGGATAGAGAGAGCGGTAGCGGAGAGAAGATAGAGAGGAGGAGAAGACGTAGAGAGAATATATAGGATAGAGAAGGTAGGAGAGAGCGAGAGAGCAGGAGAGAGAAACTTTAGAGAGGATATACTAAGCGGTAAACGGGGCGAGAGAGGAGCGGCGGTGTGAGAGATTCTCGCTCTCTCGGAACACATGCGGTCGTGTCTCCCCCCCCCTCTCTCGCTCTCTCTCATCTCTCTCTCATCTCGCGCTCTCTGGTCTCTCTTCCTCACTGCTATCTTTTGTATTCTCTCTCTCTCTACCTCTGCTCTCTCTCTCTCTCGCTCTCTGTTCTCTCCTTGCCTCTTTTCTTATCACGTCTCTCTCTCTCTCTGCTCCATCTCTCTCGCTCTCTCCGCTCTCCTATATATATACTATATATATATATTAAAATATCATTAGCATTACAGATATATAGATAGATACTGCGCATCCTCTCCTCCGTTCACTTTCTCTCGTTCTCTTCCGCCTTCACTCTCTCCTCCGCTCCACACTCTCCCAGTACCTGCGTCTTCGTCCGTTTCACAGGAGATGCGCAGCCACCCCGCGCACGTACGGTCGCAGCGCGCGACGTTCTAAGTATCTGCTGTCGAGGGCGCTTAGTGCGGCGGCACGCCGCCGCACCGCGCGTTGCGCGGGCGACGAGTCGCTGCGCTGGCGGTCGGAGCCCACGCGGAAGCAGATGATCGCCGAGGAACCAGCTGGTGCGCTGAAACACACGAGACTGTCGTAAGCCAGCATGCACGCCATGCTATGTACACGCCACGCACGCACGCACGCACGCACACGCAGTATGTACACCACACGCACGCACGGCACGGCACGCAACACGCATGTTATGCGTACCACACGCACGCGCGAACAACACGCAAGCCAGTACCACACGTATGCACACACACGCACGCACGCATGCACAGCGACATGCATAAGTACACACCGCAACTGTATGCACCGCACACGCACCATGCTAGTGCCACACACACGCCATGATACTGTACACCAAGCATGGATGCCACAGCACACGCACGCAGCGCAACACGATATGGCCAACACACATGCAGCGCACAATGTATGCACACGCCACGGCCACGCACGCACGCACCGCACACGTAAATGCAGACACAACGCACCACGCACGCACGCACGCACACGTATGCCACACACACGCACGGCACGCATGCCGACCCACAAGAAACACGTGCTGAAACACGCAAGCAGACGCACACATGATGAAACACACGCACGCACGCAGCACGCCCACCCATGCATGCACGCACCACATGTATGTACACAGTAGTTCGGAAGGTTGAAGAGCGAAGCGTCCATCGTTCCCGGTATTTTTACCCTACAGGTGATTCAAGGATCAATTACCTAAACTAAAATAAATAAATTCAAAAATTAAAAACTAAAAAATAATAAAAAAAATTAAAACAATTAAAAATAATTATAAAATAAAAAAATAAAAATTAAATAGCCTCTCGTTGATTGGTATGGACGAGGAATCCTTGGAAGAAAGACTCGACCGCATGCGTGTCCATTACGCACGCGCCGATGTCGCTCTCTGCCAACCTAGAGAGAGAGAGAGAGAGGCTGAGAAGGAGAGGGGCAGACGATGATGATTTATTGCAGAAGGAGAAAGCACGCGCGGAGCTTGAAAGGGGGAGAGCGGAATTTTTTTTAGAAGAGACGTCAGGGAGTCGAGGCGGGGTGAGAGAGATTTTGGGAGGGTGAGACGAGAGAGAAACGAGACTAAGTACCCCGCCGAGCGGACGCGAGAGCGACGGAGAGAGAACGGAGGAGAATGAAGGAGGGACGAGAGAGGAGAGGACGACGACGAGCAGAAGATAGCTGAGCAGAGAGAAGAGAAAGAGAAGAGAGAGAGAGAGAAAGTAAGCGCGCGCGTCTAACTAACGCATCTGTCCGTCCGTCCGCCACTCAGAACCCAAAGTGAGATAACGCGTGGGTCGGGCGTGGCCAGCAGGGGGCGCTGCCACCGCTACGTACGTGAGGCCGGCGTCATCGTCGGCGCGCCCGGCCTGCCGCTGCGGGTGCGTCAGTCGCTTGTAGAAGAACGAGCTGAAGACGTGCGTGCGCTCTCTGTCTCTCTCACTGAAGCGCACCAACATGAGGTACCTGCGCGGCAAATAATAATATATATATATATATATATATATATATGTAATAATATCATACAGCGTAATGTGTGTGTGCGTGCGTGCGTGCGTGCGTGCGTGCGTGCGTGCGTGCGTGTAANTCTCTCTCTCTCTCTCTCTCTCTCTTCTCTTCTTCTCTCTCTCTCTCTCTCTCTCTCTCGTCTCTCTCTCTCTCTCTCTCTCTATATATATATATATATAATATATATATATATATAATATATAGATACAGATATATAGATATATACTCCTCCCTCTCTCTCCTTCCTTTCTCTCGTTCTTCCTCCTTCACTCTCTCCTCCTCCCTCCACTCTCCCATGTATACATTCACTATATCTCTACTCGTTACCTGTCTTCGTAGGTTTCACAGGAGATGGCGCCACCACCGCGCACGACGGTCGCAGCGGCGAGTTCTGAAGTATCTGCTGTCGGAGGGCGCTAGTGTCGGGCACGCCGCCGCCGGGGTTGCCGCGGGCGACGGTCGCGTGCTGGCGGTCGAGCCACGGGAAGCAGACGATCGCGAGGAACCAGTGTGCGCTGAAACACACACGAGTACGTGTAAGCAGACGGACGCATGTATGTACACGCGCGCACGCACGCACGCACGCACGCACGCACGCACGCACGTACGCACACGCATGTATGTACACACACGTACGTGTAAGCAGACGCACACATGTATGTACGCGCACGCACGCACGCACG